CCTCCTTTCTCGCTTTCTCTTCCGCCTCCTTTCTCGCCTTCTCTTCTGCTTTTTTTCTAGCCTTCTCTTCTGCCTCTTTTCTTGCTTTTTCTTCAGCTTCTCTTTTTGCCTTCTCTTCTGCCTCTTTTCTCGCCTTCTCTTCTGCCTCTTTTCTTGCTTTTTCTTCAGCTTCTCTTTTTGCCTTCTCTTCTGCCTCTTTTCTGGCCTTCTCTTCGGCTTCTTTTCTGGCCTTTTCTTCGGCTGCCTTTTTTATTCTTTCTTCGGCTACCTTTCTTGCCTTCTCTTCTGCCGCTCTCCTTGCTTTTTCTTCTGCTTCTTTCTTTGCCTTTTCTTCAGCTTCTCTTTTAGCCTTCTCTTCAGCTGCTTTTCTCGCTTTCTCTTCTGCTTCCTTTCTTGCTTTTTCTTCCGCTTCTTTTTTAGCTTTTTCCTCTGCTTCTTTCTTTGCTTTTTCTTCCGCTTCTCTCCTTGCCTTCTCTTCTGCTTCTTTTCTAGCCTTTTCTTCTGCAGCCTTCCTTGCTTTTTTTTCTGCCTCCTTTTTTGCCTTCTCTTCTGCTTCTTTCCTTGCCTTTTCTTCTGCTTCTTTTCTAGCTTTTTCTTCAGCCGCTTTTCTTGCTTTCTCTTCAGCTTCTTTCCTTGCTTTTTCTTCTGCTTTTTTCCTTGCTTTTTCTTCTGCTTCTCTCCTTGCCTTCTCTTCTGCTTCTTTTCTAGCCTTTTCTTCTGCAGCCTTCCTTGCTTTTTCTTCTGCCTCCTTTCTTGCCTTCTCTTCTGCCGCTTTCCTTGCTTTTTCTTCAGCTTCTCTTTTAGCTTTTTCTTCTGCGGCTTTTCTCGCTCTTTCTTCAGCTTCTTTCCTTGCTTTCTCCTCAGCTTCTTTCCTTGCCTTTTCTTCTGCTTCTTTTCTAGCCTTTTCCTCTGCTTCTTTCCTTGCTTTCTCTTCTGCTTTTTTTCTTGCCTTCTCTTCAGCAGCTTTTCTTGCCCTTTCCTCTGCTTCTTTCCTTGCTTTTTCCTCAGCTTCTTTCCTTGCTTTTTCTTCAGCTTCTTTTCTTGCTTTCCTCTCAGCTTCTTTTCTAGCCTTTTCTTCGGCGGCTTTTCTTGCATTTTCTTCAGCTTCTTTCCTTGCTTTTTCCTCAGCTTCTTTCCTTGCTTTTTCTTCAGCTTCTTTTCTTGCTTTCCTCTCAGCTTCTTTTCTAGCCTTTTCTTCGGCGGCTTTTCTTGCGTTTTCTTCAGCTTCTTTCCTTGCTTTTTCCTCAGCTTCTTTCTTTGCTTTTTCCTCAGCTTCTTTCCTTGCTTTTTCTTCTGCGTCTTTTCTTGCTTGTTCTTCTGCTTCTCTTTTAGCTTTTTCTTCAGCCTCTCTCCTCGCCCTCTCTTCTGCCTCTCTTCTGGCCTTTTCTTCTGCCTCTTTGCGTGCCTTTTCTTCTGCTTCTTTTTTCTGTCTCTCCTCTTCCTCCTTTCTCTTTCTTTCTTCTTCCTCCTTTCTACGCAGTTCCTCCTCTGCTTCTTTTTTTGCTTTTTGCTCTGCCTCTCTCTTGGCTCTTTCCTCTGCTTGTTTCTTTGCGCGTTCACGTTGCCATTTTGCCAGCTCTTCTGCCTCATTTGCACTGGCCAGGCAGAAAGGCTTGCATATGACTTGGTAACTTACGCCACACCTGTCCGTAATTTCTATGATTTTCTCACAACGCTCTCTCCGAGGTTTCAATTTCCTCTTATCCAACCACCTCCCTGACTCTTTAGATCCAAGGTCTGCCGACTTTTTAGTTGTCCGACTCCTCTCGCTTTGTCTTCTTCTGATATCGGAAGCGGTTTCGAAGCGACCAAACCTCCTTTCTAAGTCGGACGTCTTTTCAGGGCGATGTAATTGTCGTTTGCTACTCAATCCCTTTGATCTATCCGCGCGAGAGGGCAGCTGGACTAGTTCCAAGAACCGTTGCCGTCTCCCGCCGTCTAGTCCTCCCCGGATCGCCTGGTCAAACGACGAGTTTTCTAACGCGTTCCACTCTGAAGCAACCTTCCTGGGAGGAGCCTGCAGACCTCTTTCGTCTACGACTTGCAAGTGGGAAGGAGTAGGAAGAGGGCGGGGAGGCAGATCTCTATCTGACAGTAGTCCTTCTCTGACGGAGGAAATAACTCGGCCTTTGAGGCTTTTCATGATTCTGTTAGTCTGCCACGTCTGGGTGTGTCTTGCTTTGTTCCAGTCGGATTTCAGCGCGTCAGCACTGTCGATCGCGCCGTCCACTGATGATGTCATAGTCTCCAAACGATTTCCTTTTCCTCGGACTGATATAAGCATCTCACCTGTGTCCACCGAGCTCTCCACCCAGATCTGTTTATCCTCATCCTCCTCCTCTTCCTCACTTGACTCTTCATCATCGTCGTCCTCGTCGTCCGCCTCCTCCTCGAGGACGTTGATATACTCCTCTGCCTTTCCCTCTCTGTCTGCTCGAGGGAATGAGACGGACTTAAGAGGACAGTACATGCTACTTCTGCTCTCCTCCCATCCTGTTATGTTGTCTGGAGCGTTCCTGTTCGAAACCCCCTCGGAAAGAAACAGTTCGTTGGAAATGATATGGTCTTCGTACTTCTTCTCCATATCGCTGTTGCTTCCAGAATACATTTCCGCTCTTTCGTATTTTAGGTTGCTACTGAATCTTTAAGATACCAAAGTCGGCTCTCTTCTAACACTGAGTTTCATTCAGTGTTTTTTCCTTCTCTTTTTAAATTATCTAATTTCAAGTAGAGCTACATCTACTACCAAAACTACATTATGCTTTTCGTAGGCGTGGAGTGACGTCTTAAATATGTTCTCTAACAGCCAGGTGACCTGCACGAGTTCAGAGCTGCTCCGTGGGTGAATACTGACAAATCTGCATTCATGGAGGAGACAGGTTGAGCTCGAAGTATGAATTCTCAGAAATTACTAAATGAACAAATTACTAGTGCGGAGAAAAGGAAGGGGCTTTGCAGCTACCAATTTTAAAAACACAATGGTAGATTTAGGTGTGGAGAGAACAATATGGCAACACTACCCACATTCCTCATTCTTTCTGCTCTGTATTGATGTTTCAGGGCGGGTTTTCTACTCTGCCGTAACCTTGCAGAGGACATGTTAGTGAATTAATTGTCCCCCTATACTGAGGCTGCTGCCGGGTAGCTGTAAATGATACAATTTCTCTAGCTTTTCGTGAGAGCCAGTGACAGTTGAAACCATTAGGTTATGTAGAAAGGTCTCTCCATTGACTCTCCTAGGGTAAGACGTCTTCTTCCTCTCTGTCTTTTCTTCTGCCAATGTTTTGTTCTCTGTAAATCACTGTATTATTTGAGGGGTTATCAATGGTACCACAGTCTCTTGATGTGTTGTGCAAACGTAAGTGCACAAAGTGTAAAATAATGCTATTTTGTCAGTGCGTTTCATTCTCAAGTTTTCGCTCCTGAGACTGAATGTTTTTTAGAGACGTCATGAGCTCTGAATCCTTAATCTTTTTAACACCATAATAACTCTTGAAGTTCATAAGTAAACAGTTTATCTTTGTTTTGTTAAAATGTACTTGTTATAATATTCCATGAAATCGTAATTACACTGATGTTGGAGATGACATATTTCGAAAACTGTCCAGGCAAATTTCCAGCTATGCCAAAGCAGCATTATTCATTGTAGCAGCCATTATAATCACTATCATGCAGAACGTAATCTAGATCTTGATCTCTAGATCGAGGCACCTAAAGCTTGATACGATCTGGTTATATAAAATGAATTCTCAGCCTTTTCAATTTAAGTCTCGGTCTCCTTGCTTGCGTCTTCCATACAGCCACACCACACCCACTCCACACCCACTCAGACTTCTAATTTGGTTAGACTGGTAGTCACTCTAAAAAAGACTACATTTCTCTGTTTGGTGAATAGGCCGAATGATGACCAAAGATTGCAGTAAACTTTGTCTTCCAGATCAGTCTCTTCCGTTCAAAAGTGTAGATCTACCTTGCGCACAGAAATGCACATCAATTTATATTTCCTGCAAATGATAGACTTGTATTATGAGATCCTTGTCCCAGTAATAATGAGGCTAGATCTATACGAGTCGCACACTTAAAATAGTGCTCAGTATTGCGCGACAATGCACGATAGTATCGAACGGAAGTACGGCTTTAAAAAACCTCGCGGATTTTCTAAAATTACAGAGACAGAAGCGTTCCTTTTGGCAGAAAAACTGTCTCGAAACTGAAAAAAGCGAAGGGCGTCATGATCTGGAGTATATTTTAAAGAATCTTTTGGCGAAAACTGCACATCGATCGATGAAGCCATTAAAAAGCCTTTGAATAGCAAAATTCGGCCACCACAAATATATAATACGAGATCTAGCTGGGCCCCCTTTCAATGAAAGGAATGATCGGAGATTTAAAATCAACTAACAGTCATCGGCCTACTGTATTAACACTCTACTGGAATAAGGAAATAAATCTTGAGAGATGCAAACAATTAGAAGGTCTAGATCTGTACTCTCAAAACAAAATGCGCCTCGCGAAATATCACTTCCGCATTTTCTAAAATTACAGAGACAGAAGCGTCGGCCTACAGAAGCGATCGGGGAAATAAAGAAATTTAGCTTTCTGCAGCAAAACTGTGTCAAAACTGAAAGAACCAAGGGCATCATGATCTGCAGAATATTTTAAAGAATTTTTTGGCAAAAACTGCATGTCGATCGATGCAGCCATTAGAAAGCCTTTTGAATAGCAAAATTCGGCCACCACAAATAGATGATATAATATAATATATATATATATATATATATATATATATATATTATATACAAGTATATAAAATGTATAAACATAATAAGATTATGCTCTATGTACTGACCTGTCCGCTAAGTCATTATAAAGCTAGTAGAGAGCCGCTACGCTGCCTTATCCACAAACAGCACTTAACACAGTACTGTAGGCTTCATACCAATGCTCCATTTTATTTGTAGAGACTACTTGCATTTATATGGCATTGGACTCTATTCATAATTCTCCCAGATACTCTTTTCTTTATCAGTCCTTCGTCTTGCCTTACTGCATTCACAAATTTCACACTTAAAAATCACAAAATAAAAACTTAAATGAATTACAGTTAATGATTCCCTCCTTGTCTGAGCAGGGAAAGCGCATTATGTTTGGATAGATAAAGAGGGAGAATGAAGGCAAGACAGAAAGGAAAAGAGGCTGCAAAAGGAAAGAGAGAATAAGGCAATGTTGGTGCACTGTGTTTGTGTGTGTGTATGTATGTGCGTGTGTGTTTGTGTGTGTGTATGTGTGTGTGTGTGTGTGTGTGTGAGAGAGAGAGAGAGAGAGAGAGAGAGAGAGAGAGAGAGAGAGAGAGAGAGACAGAGAGAGAGAGACAGAGAGAGAGACAGAGAGAGAGACAGAGAGAGACGGAATAAAGATAGGGACACGGAGCACAAGAGGGCGCCCTTAATAGACATGAACTATAATCTTTAGATCTCGAAATTCTTGCCCAGAAAAGAATAATTTAAAATCATTGTCAAGATAAACGGCAGCACCATTTGATTATTTCTAAACTAGACAAATAGAAACCAAAATGTCGTGTAATCAAGCTTTCAAAGCTTGCCTTCTTGTGCGCAGTTTGCACTGCAGTTTAATTTAAGACCTCCCGCCCCCCCAAAAACAAACAAACAACAACAACAAACTGTCACTCCTTTTCCATCCACCCACCATGCCACCCACTCCCACTTGTTCATTCATCTCCGCAGGTATAAAATATTGCATAATATTTACAAACACAGTGACTTCCTGTCCTCGAGATCTCACACGGTTAAACTGAAAGGTATGTTTCCCTGTCCCTTGTTCTCTTTCTCTTTGTATCTCTCTTTTTCTGTATCTCGGTCTCTTACTGTCAGTCTGTCTGTCTGTCTGTCAGTCTGTCTGTCTGTCTGTCTGTCTGTCTGTCTGTCTGTCTGTCTGTCTGTCTGTCTGTCTCTCTGTCTGTCTGTCTGTCTGCCTCTCCTTCTCTCTCTCTCTCTCTCTCTCTCTCTCTCTCTCTCTCTCTCTCTCTCTTTCACCTTCATCTACACACTCTTTTTGGCTTCTGCTGTCCTTTCTCTGTATCTCTTTTTGTGTTTTTCCCACATGATCTTCATTGCTATCATTTTTATCTCTCTCACGATCCATCCCCCCTTTCTCTCCCTCCTCTCTCTCTCTCTCTCTCTCTCTCTCTCTCTCTCTCTCTCTCTCTCTCTCTCTCTCTCTTTCTCCCCCCTCTCTCTTCTCTCTCTTAATCTCTAATACTCTCCTAATGTCTCTCCGTACTGAACTGCGCAAACAACACTCCCCAGAAAACGGATATGACGTCATAGGTCAGCGAGCCAATCACCGTAACGCGATTAGAGAGAGTCCCCCGAGTCTGAGTGGGCAGGTGACTTATCTCCCTGTGGACTGCCAGAGATTCCGACAACACTCTGGAATCTGTCCTCAGAGTTCTGGTCTGTTTTCCTCGGGTCCTTACTGCGAAACAGATAATCTAAATAATTGTGTCACGGCATGGTAGAATGAGACGCTTGTCAGTTTTTATTTTTGTTCTTACATTTGGGGTTATTGACAGTATCTTAAAACATGTTTATTTGTCTTGCTTGTGCTTGAAGAATCACCCGTCTTAAAAAAAAAAAAAGTAAAGATAGTGGGGATTGAAGAAGATGGCTGCGAAAAGTAAAATTAGTAAGAAAATGGTAAAGCTTGAGTATCAATGGAAACGTCAAATTCACAACTGTTGGGTCTTTGATCATGTTTTTTTTTCTACTTAAGATCCTGCAGAAATGTGTTTTTTATCGACATAGAAGGAGATCAAAGGTATTAAGTACCCCCAACCCACTTTTTAAAAAGATTGATAAACATTGCCCAACGACCGATATTAATGCCGGTTTCTTTAATTTCATGGTTTTGGCGAGCGCCTGATTTTACAACGACCACACACAATACTAAGCCCCAAACGTAGTTCTTACCAACCCAAGCCGTTTGCATTAGTATCTACATAGATAAAATTATTAAAATTCCGCATTCGATATCTATGGGGAATTTGGGTGTATAATATGCATTATTCGAAGACATGCATTAATTCATCTCCTTTCTTTACTAACTTTATTTGTTTTCCTCTTATACTCTTATATAGCACCGTGCCAGGAAGAACAATTGTGAGGCAGCGTGGTGGAATCAGGCTCTCGTCAATTTTGGAACATGTAGAGTTATTAGTATCATCTTAAAGCTGGTTCATTTGCCTTTATTTGAATGAAAAAAATATCCATTTATTGTGAATACAAGTCGAGATATTTGCGAATGAAGGAGGTGCGGGTCACCTGTTTTCAGAGGTAAAATTAGTGAGAAAATGGTTGCCAAAGATGAGTTATTTCCTTAACTTAAGAGTCCAGGTCAACTGAAAATTTACATTTTTTGTGTTTTTAATTAACGCTTTTCAGAAAAATCCACACAGAAATGAGTTCTCTAATGGGCATGAAAGGTGTTGAGGCAAAAATAAAAAAATTGATAAAAATTCACAAACCTGCAGAAAAATGCAAGTTTCTTCTGTTTGATTATTTTGACGAGAGCCTGATTCCACCCTGCTGC